TTCATACGTTACATCCCTACTGTAAGGATTGTCATTTAATGAAACTCAAATGTAAATAATATAATATTTTGAGATACTGGATTTTTGACTTTCATGAGCTGTAAGCTCTAATCATCAAAATTAAAACAAACAAAAAAAACGTTTGAAATATTTTACTTTACATGTAATGAATCTAGAATATATGTAAGTTTCACTTTGAAATAAGTTCCAAAAAAATAACTTTCACGATATTCAAATTTTTTTTTGATCCACCTGTTCATAACCTCAAATAGGAAATAAAACCGTTATCGAATGAGCATATTTTGTCCTATTCTGTGTCCTAAACTCCTGAAACATTGGTGTCTCATATTTTAGAGCAGTCAATGCAATTTCGGAAAGAAATCAATCAAATCTGTGTGTGTGTGGAAAATATTCAGATGTAACCCACTTTGTAATAGTTAACATTTTCATAAGTAACTGTAATTTAATTACACATATTTTTCTTAGTAACTGTAACAGATTACAGTTACATTTATTTTATAATTAAATTACGTAATTCCGTTACATGTACAGTAACGAGTTACTCCCCAACACTGCTGAATCAAATCAAAACCAATTCAAACTTTTTAGAACCGAATCAAAATAATTCTCAGTGAATTCCTTTTCCTTTTTGTCATCATCATTTGCATCATGATGAGCATTTTAGTATGTTATTTGATTATATTTGTTACTTAGATATTTAATTATTTGCTCATTTCCCAGAACTCCCTGCAGAGGTGCTGTAGTGTTAAAGGACTTACTGCTGACTGTGCATTAAAACACACACACACGTCCCAGTCCTGTCACCTCTGATGAATAACTGCATTAGCTCTTAGGTGAGAAAGAGGGAAATCATTGACTGACCTAAAATACATCATTCTCCTGTCTTTTACCTTTATCTAGACAGGTCTTGATTAAACCAAACGAGTGGGACAATAAGACAGATATACTATAACAGTGACGTTTCTCTTGAATTGGAGATGGAGACAGGACTATAAATTGACTTGATGAATTCTCTCTCTAGATTGTTTGAACTAAAATGAGTAGTGCTTGCTACATGTTGTATGGTTGCTTTCATGCACAAGCAAAGCCCACCCGCAGTCACTATATGACAGTGGAAACTGATGGAGCACAATTAAAGAGGACGGATTATAATTCGCTTAGTAGCCATAATATATAGGCTGAAAGAAAGACATTGTTAAGTGCGTGCTAATCAGGTAACAAATTAACAAATTCTACTTTTAGAATACAATTATAAAAGAATGGCTCATGAATATTTATTATGAATAATTCTGAATAATACATATTGCAGAACCTTAATATTTTTAAATACTTAATTATATTAAGTTACTTGACTGAACACTCCTGGAAGGTTACTATGCAACGTGATGACCAACTTAATGACCCAACTAATATTCACACACTGTACATAAATCCATATCAAACCTTAATTATAAAAATGCAATGGACAAAACGGCAATGAATAAACGAATATTTAAAAAATATATCAAACAGAACACAAGATCTCATTATGAAAGGCAATTTGTGTCTAAAGCTGAATTTCTGATGGTACTATAGAAGTTCATGAGGTTTGATTGGGCGGCACATTTCACTCGCAATGATGTGGTCAGTCATTTTCACAGGGAAAAAGCAAGAAAATACACACTCCGTAGAGTCCAGAGCTAAGGTCAAGCCCTAAGCAATTTTCTAGACTACACTCTCATCTTCCGAAGCTCCAAAGCCATGAACTCTTTAATGTGACACTGAGAAAATCTGCATCCAACCTCACAAAACCGAAACAGTACAGTAAGAGTGAAACGAAACAAACTGATTAGGCTGTTAAATGAGCTCTCTGTTGTGTGACAAACATCTGACGGCCTGCCTCATCTTAAAAAAACAGTAATTTTATTCATTCATGAGTAATTTTCGCCCAATCTCAAATTTACCTTTCCTCTCAAAAATTTTAGAAAAAGTGGTCTTGAGCCAACTTTTGCCTTTTTTGAATGATAACAATATACACGAGAAATTTCAGTCTGGTTTTAAAGCCCGTCACAGCACCGAATCAGCCCTCTTAAGAGTCATGAATGATGTAATGCTCACCACTTATACCGGGCAGTCTATGGCTTTGGTCTTGCTAGACCTTAGCTCTGCATTTGACCTAGTCGATCACAATATTCTCTTATCACGTCTAGAAGCATGTGTGGGCCTTCGGGGTACGGTGCTCCAATGGTTTCGCTCATATTTAACCAATAGGAGTTACTCTGTCTGCCTCGGGCACCATTCTTCCTCTGATAAACATTTAAGTTCTGGTGTCCCTCAGGGCTCTATTCTTGGCCCGGTACTGTTTAATCTCTACATGCTACCTTTGGGTTCTATTTTATCTAGATATGGTCTATCTTTTCATCTGTACGCTGACGACACACAAATGTATCTGCCTTTAAAGAGTGACGATAAGCATGCCTTTAAGCCTATATTAGACTGCTTAGACGAACTGAAACTCTGGCTTGCTAGTAATTTCTTAAGTCTTAATGAGAGTAAGACTGAAATTATCTTGTTTGGTTCAAATGATCACAGCATTCATGATGTTGATCTCGATACTCTGTTACCTTACAGTAACACCTGTGTTCGGAATCTGGGGGTTTTGCTTGATAACAGTCTTAAATTTGATAAGCAGATATGTGCTGTGGTTAGGTCTTGTTTCTATCATCTTCGTCTTTTAGCAAAGGTTAAGCCCTTTTTGTCTGGTAAGAATTTCGAAACTGTCATGCATGCATTTGTAACATCTCGACTAGACTATTGTAACTCTTTGTACATTGGTGCCTCTCAGACATGTGTCACACGCCTACAGTTAGTTCAAAATGCCGCAGCCCGGCTCCTCAAAGGGAAGCGTAAAAGTGATCATATCACACCGGTTCTGATTTCACTTCATTGGCTACCGGTCAAATACAGAATTGATTTCAAAGTTTTGTTATTTGTTTTTAAGTCTTTGCGGAACCAGGCACCACAGTACCTATCTGAACTACTGCATCCTCCTTCTCAGTCTAGATAGTGTTTAAATGCTTTGTGTCATTATTGTCCGTTTCTTTTAGCCTTGTAAAGCACTTTGGTCAACACCAGTTGTTTTTAAATGTGCTATACAAATAAACTTGTATTGTATTGTATTGTATTGAATGCCCTGTTTTCCATCTGAGGAGGAAACAGATCGAAGACAGTCGTAAGGATGAAGACGCACAAGCTAAATAAGGAATGTGTTTAATCACTGCAATCGCGAATTCCCTCTCTGAGACTTAATTAATCATGCATTTTCAGTAATTACCCAAATGTGTCGTCTCAGTCATTTCACACAGGTGTTTTCATTCAGAAACAGTCAGAGAAGGACGAACATGCACAACAGACAAACACACACACACACAATTATGATTGCATTATATGCAAACATACAGACACACATTAGAATGGAAATTTATTTCTTTAAAGTCAACATGAATCAGTGTTTCAAATCATTTTACTTCTGTAATTTTATGATCACACTAACAACCATCCAGATCACCAGTATAACCACCTAGAAACATCATAGCAAAAAAAGAAAAGAAAAAGAAAAATAGAATATTATGCATTTACATAATTATTATAAATATTATAAAAATATTATATTAAAATAATGCATCAACTAGCTGGGGGTCTAATATAAATAAACTTGTTTTTATAGTTGATTAATTTATTACTAGCAAAAAAAAAAAAAAGATTAAAGAAATATTCATTTATCTGATTTTTTTCTTCTTCTCACAAACATGTAATCAAGCACAAAAATACCAAAATATGCATTAAAGTAAACTGGGTCACTTTGACTCCATGTTGATTTTAAAAACCGCTTTTCAGAGTAACAGAAAAGAGTGAAGGCCAGAGCATCTGCATACATCTGCATGAGCGATGAGGGGGTCCAGAGTGAATAATAGTTCTGCATGGATGCTTGGGAGTT